AGTTTCATCAAAATCAAAAAATATGTGGTTAAATCCATTGGGTGATTTGACATGGAATGACCCTTATCTGTGATGCAATTGTGGAAGTGCTTCGCAATTGGCGTAAAACATGTCACATTTGGCAATGCGATACTGGGTAAATCGAACGCTAAAGCCCAATAAAAATACTTTATCGTAATTAAAATTAGATCTTCTTATTCACATTCACTTCACACTTCTAATGCATAATAAATGTAATAATTTGTCATAATTGTGCTGTGATGATTGTGCGTAATCACCTATATCAATAGTTCAGACCTAAAGTAAATTTGCACAAAAACCAAAGTCAATGAAAACACTAATTTTCAAAATTTTATTTGTGTTGCATGTCTTTTTTTTATTTGATAAATCTAAGTGAGTACAATCTTAAATGCTATTATTTTTAGACCTGTCTTCTTTTTTTTTCCCCAGGGCCAGTTTGCAGAATTCTGAAATGCGAAGATGCAACTAGATGTGAAAAAAAGGAGGCGATTGAATACTTTCTTAATAACCTTTGTGAAAAGTATGAGGGAAAAAGGCATTCGTACTTCTGTTACTATGATTCATGGTGAAACTATTGACGATTCTTATTGATACACTCTGGCATGGACCCTCTGGCATGGACCCTATCAATTTGAGGATATTCATAATCTGTAAAAATGTTAAATATGTGATATTCCCAATGCGATCAAAATGATGGAATATTCTTACTTTCCAAGGAGTTGGAGAAATTGAATTGTATACTGTAGTTATTAAGGGACATTAAGAAATTTTGATTTCATTTACCACTATTTGTATTTGCAATTGACAATATTGCTTTCTCTATAAAATAAATAAAATGATTGATGTGTTAAAATGAAATAACCGTTTTGTTTAATCATTGCAGTGAAAATATTTTGTACTATACGTACAATTGAAAAGTTTTATTTTCAGACAAGGAGTACACCTAGCTCATGGTCATCGACTCGGCCAATGTTCAAACCAGAGTTAGAAGCCAAGTCAGAAATGTGTGGCCTCCATATTTGTTCTCTCTGGGTCATGTCAGCTAAACCATACAGGCTCCCATATGGGCAATACCCAATATGCCATCCATATGAGCCAGAAAATATGGGCCTCACATATGGGACACCTATATACCACCCATGTGCAGTTGCAATGGGTACCATGTTTGTCCCACATGGGGCTTTGGTGGAGAATACGAGGGGCCCCATATGGGCAGCCCCATATGGGCAGACCCATATTACATCCATATGGGCCAGAAAATAATGGGCCCCATATACCACCCATGTGCAATTGCATATGGGTACCATGTGAGAATCCCATATGCCACCCATGTACAAATGCATAAGGGTACCATGTTGGCCCCATATGGGTTC